GAGTCGGATGCTTAACCGACTGAGCCACCCAGGTGCCCCAGGAAAGGCACTTTTAAATAATCTATAGGTCAAAGAAGAAGTAATAATGAAAAGTAAAAATAGGGCAAAGTAAATATAGGAAAAATACTACGGATCAAAAGTATATATTGTAGCTAAGACAGTATTTATTGGACAATGTATAGCCTTCCACTCACGTATTGGGAAAGGCCTTGCATCACTCTGGAATTTCTTCCGGGGAATTGCATTGTGATTTTTATGTTTAATGTTTATTTATATTTTTAATTTTTTTAATGTTTATTTATTTTTCAGAGACAGAGAGACAGAGTGTGAGTGGGGGAGGGGCAGAGAGCGAGGGAGACCCAGAATCCAAAGCAGGCTCCAGGCTCCAAGCTGTCAGCGCAGAGCCTGACGTGGGGCTCGAACTCACAAACCGCAAGATCGTGACCCGAGCTGAAGTTGGACGTTTAACCAACTGAGCTGCCCAGGCATCCCAATGTTTATTTATTTTTGAGACAGAGAGAGAGAGAGAGACAGAGTGTGAGAGGGGCAGAGAGAGAGGGAGACACAGAATCGGAAGCAGGCTCCGGGCTCCGAGCTGTCAGCTGTCAGCACAGAGCCCAACGCGGGGCTCGAACCCACAAACCGTGAGATCATGACCTGAGCCAAGGTAGGACGCTCAACCGACTGAGCCACCCAGGCGCCCTGTGATTTTTTTTACAACTGTGAAGCCCTTGGAGGCCAGATTCACGGGTCCCGCAGGTCCCTGTCTCCCAGTAGCACCTCTCGTTTCTGTCCCCCAGAGTCACTCAGCTGCCACAAGGAGCAAGGCAGGTACTACGACCAGCTCCTGAGGGACTGCATCAGCTGTGCCTCCATCTGCGGACGTCACCCCAAGCAATGCACGTACTTCTGTGAGAACAAGTTCAGGAGCCACGCGAACCTCCCGCCAGAGCTCAGGAGACAGCGGGCCGGGGAAGCTGAAACCAGGCCAGACGACTTGGGGAGGTACCAGGGAACAGAGCACAGAGGCTCCGAGCCAGTTCCAGGTAAGCCCCCTGAGGCCGGCCTGCACGGTGCCTGAGGGTCAGAGCAGGAAGCAGGGCCCGTGCCAAGCCTCCACAAGGAGGGTCTGCAAAGCAGGAAGCGCAGAGTCAGGGCAAATGGCCAGAAGGCAGGGGAGGGTCATCACAGGATAGAAAAAATTTTAGGCAAAAGATCTAGCAGTCTGTGGGCCAGAAGGAAGGTGGGGGAGGATTGGGAGGGGGAAAGACCTGGTCACTGAGAGTCTTATGACGGAGGCTAAATGAGTTCTTAAAACATGGGCAGCAGCTAACCAGCAGAGCTGACCTTGTGAGCAAGGTCTCTGATTCCAGTTAGACACAATGGGCACTTCCTAAGAATGAGAGGGACCGAAATATCACAACACAACTTATGCTGGGGGTTGGCCACTTGGGATATGGTGAGAAGGGTCCCTTGAACCGGACATCTACCACGTGCCAAGCATTGAAAGTGTTTAATGATCCTCCCAGAAAACACCTCTTGGCTTACCCACCCTGCTCGTGGTGTCGGAAAGAATGGGAGGGGGGTGGCACGTGGATCCATAAACACTTGAGATAGTTACGCTGCTCTTGGCCTGTCAGGGGAGAGACAATAGTCCTGAAGGCCCCTGGGGCCCCGATTGGTTTCTTTTCTGTGCTGTGACTTTCCTCACAATGACATCATTTCTGTGATGCCAGAGCTTAGTGCCAAGACACCAAAGGACAGGTGTCGTGCACCCTGATAATGGAGGTTGCCCAGCTCCGTGTTCTACTCGGTTAGACTGTTGTCTTTTACTCTTTTCTGTTCTCCTGTCAGTGAGCTGTTGCTGTGTAACAAGCAGTCCCAAAACTCAGTGCCTTATTATTCTTCTGTATCTGGATTTTGGCTGGCGTCAGCTGTGTTCAGCTGGCTCAGCTAGACGTGGGTCTGCTCCATGGAACTCTCTTCCTATTCCTGGGGCCAGCAGGCTGGCAAGGCGTGTCCTTCTCGTGATGACGGCAGGAGTGCAAGAGGTAGAAATACACCAGGCTTCCAGCTGCCTAGGCTGGGGACACGCATTGTATCATCACTGCTACCTTCTATCACTCAAGTTGCAAAGCCGATCAGATTCAAGGATGGGGAAAGAGATGCCACCTTTTGGTGGGAGGAGAGACCAAGAATTTGCAGCCACGGTGAGGTTGTGGCTGATTTTAATCTAGCACAGCATCCTTCTCATGAGAACTGCAGATCCGCATGCAGAGGACGTGGATACAGAGGGAGCGGTGTACGGGGCCATGAAGTGGGGCTGGGGGGGCACCCCCATTCCTCCGGTGTCTGTCTGTGACCTGTGTGTCTAGCCTGCCGTTGGCGGTGTATTTGGATTCTTCCAGCCAGACCCAGAACTTTCCCACCTCTGATGCACTAGAGTCCCCTTCAGATCAATCCCACCCATTTTACGGATCAAGAAATGGAGTCTCAGAGTTTAGGGTTACTTGCTGCGAGTTGTGCGATGAGTTCATGAGCAAAGCTGAGCTGAGATCGAGGCCAAGTCTGGGGGTCCCAAAGCGTATCCCCTCTGCTGGAGCCAAACTCCCAGAGCGGCACGCACGGGGTTATCACTTCCTGAGGGTAACCCGTTGTCCGTGGGATACGATTAGCTATTCCTGTCTGTGATGACCCATCGCAAGCCCCGTCCCTACAGGGCACCGGGTAGAATCTGGGAGCCTCATCTGGGCTCCAGGAATAGATCCCCCAGGATGTGTGGATGGGGGTGTGTAAGGACACGGTGGGGGGGCGAGTCATACCTGACCCTGCAGCATTAGCGGCCCCATGCATACCACAGCCAGGGGACACCACGCGCCCTCCCAGGGACTCAGGGAGTTAAAGACCGTCTTGTTGTGCCCTGCCCCGGGCCCGAGTCTCTCCAGAGGCCTGGGGTTTAAGGTCCCTTCTGCTCTGTCCTCTGACACCTGGGTGTGCTGGTGGGGCAGGAGCTGGGCTTGGCACGGATTGTAAACCTGGGAGGACCAGGTGTGGACCTGTTCGAGGGCGTGGACTACAGCATGTCACGTGACCAAGCTTGCCTCTGGCTGCAGCCAGTGGCGGAGCTGATGTGATCCCGTCCCCTGTGGGCTCCACAAATCCGGCCACCCACCCCACTCACTCCCACCCCCGCCAGGCCCCACCTCAACCCTACTCGGGGTCTCTCACGGGTCCCTCCCAGGTTGTCATTCCGTCCTTCATGTGACATGAGGTGTCCCGAGCACGACAAATCCTGTCCCCGGCCCCACAGAAGTCACAATCTGACAGGAGAGTCAGACATAGACAAGACTCACGCAAATGGTAAATTAATCGCAGTGCCTGGTGGCAACGTAACCCGGCCAGGGGTGCGATGGGGGGCAAGGCAGCCTTCTCTGGGGGGAGGGGGCTTGGGGCAGACTGGAGTGATGGGGGGTGGGGCTGCGGAGCCAGACCCTGGTTCCATCCTTCGCTGTGTGACCGTGAGCGAGTTCCTTCACCTCTCTGAGCCTTGGTTCTGTGAGAATGGGGCCACACACCTTCGTGGGGCTGTTGTGCAGAGTACAGGAGAACGCTCACTGGGGTCAGTGAGTGCCCGCCGTGCGTACATAACCGCTCGTTTAAAAAGAAAAGGTGGGCTTAAGAGACAAGGTGGAGGAAGTCTGCTCCAGGCAGGGGGAACAGCACGTGCAAGTGTTGTGAGGAGTAAAGTGGCTGTGACGTGAGGGGCTGAGAGGAGCTTTGGGCCAGAGGGGGAGCCCGAGGAGGGGCGGAGGGCTGAAGCCGGGACAGCAGAGCACGCTAGGGGGCGGACAGAGCCCGGAGAGGGATCAGGGCCCATGACAGAGGGCCCTATCTGCCAGGCTGGGGAGACTGACGTGCTCCTGGGGGCAGGGAAGTCGTGGGAGAGGTGGGGACTGGATGGCGGGGAGCCTTGAAGGGTAGACGCTGGCAAAGGCAGCAGGGGCCGTGAGAGCCTCTTTCTAGCAACAACGAAGGCCACAGATGACAAGGACTTGGATGGTCCTTGAGAGGCGGCACATTGGCACGGGATCGGTGGGACGGAAGGGCCCTCACGTCTGAGTGGCCGTGGAGGCCTAGAGCACAGCAGGGCCACTCAGCCTCTGGGATGACCGGGCACCAGGGGACCCCTTCTGGGAATAACTTAAAAGTGCATCAAACAGGGGCATCTGGGTGCCTCAGTCGGTTAAGCATCTGACTCTTGATTTCAGCTCACTCAGGTCATGATCTCCCAGTTCACGAGATCGAGCCCCACATCAGACTCTGCACTGACAGCATGGAGCCTACCTGAGATTCTCTATCTCTGCCCCTTCCCTACTCATGCACAAGCTCTCTCTCTCTCTCCCTCTCTGCCCCTCCCCTACTCATGTGCATGCTCGCTCTCTCTCTCTCTCTCTCTCAAAATAAAAAAAATAAACCTTTTTTAAAAAGTGTAGGGGCACCTGAGAGGCTTAGTCAGTTAAGCCCCCAATTTCAGCTCAAGTCATGATCTCACAGTTTGTGGGTTTGAGCCCCGCGTCGGCTCTGTGCTGACAGCTCAGAGCCTGGAGCCTGCTTCATATTCTGTGTCTCCCTCTCTCTCTGCCCCTCTCCCGCTTGCTCTCTCTCTCTTTCTGTCTCAAAAAATAAAAATTTTAAAAAAGTGCATCAAACAAAGCACATAGGGCTACAAAGAAACCAATGACGTTGAGATACTATCAATATAGTATCTCAAAATATTAAATCAAATTAAACATTAAATCAGAGTATTACCAAAGTATGGCACAAATCGCAACCTCAGAATGAATCTGCGTGCTTCTCTATCAATGCATTAAATGGCGAGACGGGGCGGTGGGCTGGATGACGACAGGTGATTTCAAACTGCTAGGAAGCAGACAACATCGCAGGCTGCCCGGACCCACTGAGGCAGGATACGGAGACACCTGGGCCTCTGCTATTGACAAAGCCACAGTCCGCTGCTTGTACAACTCGGGGCCAGCCTCTACAGAGGGTGGAAGCGAAAGCCAAATCTCAGTTGGCCATCAGTGAAATAAAAGATGCATCTTTCTCATCTGAGCCTGCGGAGCCCCCAGACCCCATCCCTGGGTCCCCTGGTCCCCACGTTAGGAGCTCTGGGTGGTGTTGGGAGCAGGGCTCCCAGCGAGCCTGCCGGCACCTGGATTCCAGCCCATACTCTGGGTGAGCCAGGGAAGCTTCTGGACGGCTTGTGCCTGACTGTCCCCACCTGTAGTGATCATGACAGCACACAGGGCTCTCGTGAGGCCTAACTGCCTCTGAGACTTGGGGGCACGGGGCCGCGCCTGGCACTTCAGGGACGTCGTTGGGTGGGACGAGCAGAATGTGGGTCCTATCCCGGGCTGGCGATGTCTGCGTCCTGCGGCTGCCGAAGCACCGTGCCACAAACGGCGGGGCTTAACGCAGATGTCCTTCTGGCCGTTCTGGAGGCTGGAGGGCTGAGATCAAGGTCTCTGCAGCTATGCTTCCTCCTACGGCTCTGGGGGAGGATCTTTCCTCGCCCCGTCCAGCTGCTGGTGGCCCCAGGCCTTGGCGTGTGGTGGCCCCCATCTTCCTGTGGCTCCACTGTGTGTCTTCTCTCTTTCTAAGGACACTTGTCATTGAATGTAGGGCCCAGCCTGATCCACACTCTCTCTTCTTGAGATCCTTAACTTAATTACACTCACAAAGGCTCTTTTTTTTCCAAATAAGGTCACAGTTGCAGGTTACGAGGGGGCATCTCTTTGAGGGGATGGAACCAGGGTCGGCGGGGAGGAAACCAGAGGGACCCCAGAGCTCTGAGTTGGGTCCCCCATGGGCAGGTGATGCCAGCCTTGAAGGCAGCCAGGACTCCTCACATGGGTCCAGAGCTCTGGGGAGCATCTCACTGGAGAACTTGGATTTCATGGGCCTGTAGGGTGGCAGTTTTGGTCCCAAGAATGAAAAAGATTCCCTGGGGACCCAGGAGGTGCGAGGAGAAAAGGGCTGAGAAGGA